AGTGGACTTTTGTTGACAAAACTATACCTGCGTCTACACTACTGCGGAGTTCTGTCGACATAACGTCGACAGAACTCAGCAGTTTTGTCGACGCTGGTATACCTCATTTTACGAGGCATAACAGCTTCTGTCGACAGAGTTCTGTCGACAGAAGGCGTTACTGCCTGTAGGGTTGCGTCTAGACTACAGGGTTCTGTCGACAAAGCAGCTTGCTTTGTCGACAGAACTCAATGTGTCTGGACGCTCTTTGTCGACAGAAGTTTTGTCGACAGATACTGTCGACAAAACGCGGTAGTCTAGACGTACCCAGAGAGACAGAGACAGAGACACAGAGAGAAAGCGCGCGCAATAAATAAATAAAATGACCAGGACATGTATGTATGGATAGATGGAGGGTACTGTGCTTCATAAGACATGGAGGTAATGTTTAGGGTTTTTTTTTTATATCCTACCATACACTTCAGTTCCACATGGATAAAGTCCATGTGTATTTTTAGGAGCTTGAAATCTGTGCTCAGTTCCTTAAGAACTGAAGTACACACAAGACATTAATAAGCAGCAATGATCGGTATACTACTGAATGCAGACTGACCAGTCACTAAATTATGTCCCTTATATGTCCTGAATTTGTTAAACCCTCCATTTCAACTCACCCCCATGTGAATATGGATTTCAATTCATATTACACACCCTGAGAGTGTTACTTAGCAGTAAAATAGTATCCTTAATAGCTTAGGGCAAACATTAAAATTTTAGTGTTTCCCACAAGCAAGCTGTACAGCAAGTTGTTTAAAAATGGGAGATGGTCACAGGGATTCGGTAGTCTAGACAGGGTAAGGTACATTCTTCCGAAACTGCCAGGCCTGGCCCTGCCCACACAATGCCTACGGTAGGTGTACTGGAGACAGTGCTGCTGCCCCCTGCACCTGCCTTCTCTGTGCTCTGGGGCCAGGGCAGGTGCATGCTTGCCCAGTCTCCTCTCCCCCTCTCCACAGGAGGAACCCGCCTGCTGCACGGTGCCCTGCCTCCTCCCTGTGGTGGGGGCGGGGCCTCACCAGAGGGGGTAGGGCTGTAGATTGGGCTGGGGGCCTGCCTCCCAGTCCTAGCTGCACCAACCGCCCACAGAGATTGTGTCATTCCATTCGATTCAATAGCAAAACTCCCATCTACTATACATGACAGTTTGTCTGTCCATCCAAGAATTCCTACAATGGCAAGAGCTAGGACTACCAAATTTGATAGACTGCTGTGTCTTACAGCTTAAAGCAAGGTGAGGGGCTGGTTGTGCTAGGAAAAATGGTATGTTCTTGAAATGGGATTGCTCCTCAAAGCCATACAGACGTGAAAGGGGCTGACTGGGGTGCATCCCCCCCATTCTGCAGAGCCAGAGCCCCAAGCCTCACAACCCCCAGGTGCCCTTTAGGGAGGGAGGGCGGGCAAGGGGTCTGATGCTCCTCTCTGCCTCGTTTGTCCAGGAACACGATGCAGTTTCCCCTTGCTCCCTAACACAGGCAAACAGCCAGTATTTTGCTGCATTCCTCACTCTGGCTGGGGAACGCAGGAGCCAGATGAACTTGGACCTGCCCCAACCAGGGGACATGCACGCCTACCCCACCTATGCCCACAGGCGCTGCAGTGGATAGGCACGTCTCACCTGGCCCCAAGCGGCAACAAACAAGAGAGGGCCAGAGTCCTCTCTCCCTGGTACAGCCTGCATACTGAACCCCTCATTCCCAGCCCCACCCCACAGCAATGATTCAAATGAATCAGACATAAAAAAGTTAAGGATGTGAGCAATACCAGGTAAGTTTTCTAGTTGCTCTAATCAATGTGTACATCTACACAGCAATTAAAAATATCTGCAACTGGGCTGGGTCAGCGGACTCCAGTTATAGGGCTACAATATTGCTGTGAAGACATTTGGGCTCAGTCTGGACTGTAGATTATTAGAGCCCCCTCCCCCTCATGGTGTCCCAGAGCTAAGGGTCTAGCCTAGGCCCCAAACTTTTACACTGTCATATGAGGGGAGGGATAGCTCAGTGATTTGAGCATCGGCCTGCTAAACCCAGGTTTGTGAACTCAATCCTTGAGGAGGCCATTTAGGGATTTGGGGCAAAAATTTGTCAGGGATGGCACTTGGTCCTGCTGTGAAGGCAGGGGACTGGACTCAATGACCTTTCAAGGTCCCTTCCAGTTCTAAGAGATAGGCAATCTCCATTAATTAAAGTTATATAACCCCACAACTCCAGCCCATGGGTCACATTCAGCCTATTTAAGCCAGCCATAGCTGTGTTGGGAGTCTTATTCTAGTGTAGACTCAAGTAATGAGGCCAGGGTTTGGCTGTTTTTCCACCTGGAGTTACGGAAATTTTTGCATTCCAAACAATTGTTAGTCCATTGTAAATCCTAGTCTCTGTAGCTGCTTTTGAGCTGACTGAATTTATGGAGGATCCTCATTCCTTTCAAGTGACAATGAACTTTTTAAAAACATGCATATTAAGTCAGTCCCCCTACTTGTAACATTAGAAGGTCATCTAGAGCCTTTGTAGGATATTTGCCAACATATGTGATGCCTCCAAACCCAACTCCCTAACTTGTCCCTCAGACCACCTTGTGTTCACTACCTCAATTTCCATGCATCACTTGCTTCTGGAGAGACTGCAAGTCCCAGCAGAATTGAGAGGCCTCGTTTCTCACTATTCCAAGCCAGCTGGAAATAGGAGAGACTAGAATTCTATGAAAAATCATGTTTTCACAAGCATTCTGGAAAGATTTCTGGATGCAAGATACTGAGAACAAGGGAAGGCAGGGAAAGCTTTTTGGCAGAGAACTGGCACTTGATCATTCTGGGAGAGCTCATTTCAATTGGAAAGGGATGATTGCATATCTAGTCATTTGCAGAGGGGTAAGGACAACAGTGGCTACAGAAGCAAAGTGTTGAACAGATGCAAGTCATCACTTATGGCCATGAGCATGGGTTGGCAGTAATGAGTGCTAGTCATTACACAAGCAAGAGGGCTGCATTCAATAGGATTATTCACATGAGTAAGCAAATGAGGAATTTATTCTGTGCAAGGGTTTATTATGGCCTTGGACCTGAATCTGTAGACTTCTGGGCAGGGACCAGATCTTTTCCCACCTGAATATTGCTTACTGTTCTGTTGGAACTATGGGTGTGTCTAGACTACAGGGTTGTGTTGACAAAAAGTCCACTTGTCGACAAAACTATACCTGTGTCTACACTGCCGCTGAGTTATCAACGTAACGTTGACAGAACTCAGCAGTTTTGTCGATGGCGGTAAACCCCGTTCAATGAGAAATAATGCCTTTTGTCAATAGAGTTCTGTCGACAGAAGGCATTATTGCATCTGAACTGTCCTTTGCGTCTACACTGTCATGTTGACAAAGCGGCTTGCTTTGTCAACAGAACTGGATGTAGTCTAGACGCTCTTTGTCTACAGAAGCTTTGTTGACAGTATCTGTCGACAAAACTTTTGTCGACTAAAGCCTATAGTCTAGACGTACCCTATAAGTAAACATCTTCCCCAATTTTGAAGTCATGCTTAAGGGATGGTATTAACTGGTCTCCATCTGCATATTTATCCAGTGGCACAAATATGAAACTTGCATGCATCATTCTTATTAGCCAGTTATTAACCAAGGGAACATCAACACAGCAACATTATTTTGAAATAACTTAGTCCATGTCTACACAGTAGGCAGTTGTCAAAATACTGTCAAGCTAGAGGACTGCTTTCTCTGACTCCTGTAACCCTCATTGTAGGGAAGTCCGAGGAAGAGTGCTCTGTTTCAAAGTAAGTGCTGTGTAGACACTCCCAATTTCAAAATAAGCTATGCAATTGACATGGAATAAGCTATGCAAATTGAGCTGAGTTAAGCCCTGCTTTGTAGACACCATAAGATACTGACCTAAAAACAAGCTACAAAAGCTATTAAATTTAAACTACAAAGTAAACATTTTACAATGGCTGCTGTAGTTTGTGTGTCTGCAGAAATAACAGAAGAAAATCCAGAAGCCTACTGAGAATTAAAAAGGAAGTAATACTTCATCCTAGAGAGACGTAGAACCCACATGTGATTTAGATTAGAAAATGAGCACTGATTGTGCTTCTGGTTAAATGGAGACATATTGCACCTCAAACTAAGCCCACACGGTTTATGGCCTTAGAGTCAAGAAAAAAATACATGGCTCCTTTAAAAGGAGATTGTCTCAATAGCAAATCTGAAATAACCATTCAATAAAAATGGAGACTCATACAGGAAATTTGCAAAAACAGCATCAGATGTAGATGCTGTGTGGGTCCTGTCAGCATTAATATTATGGTTTTGATTTGAAAGATGGAGTGAAGTACAGTTTACTTTCAGCTAAACTTTACTCAGAGCCCTGAAATGTGTCACAATTACCAACTTCAGTTAAGAATGCCAAAATTTAAGTAGGTCTTGCATTTAGACTTGCAGGAGAGAGAGTCAGACCAATACAGCAAGTACCCATGGGATAGCCGCATTGGTATTGTTTAGGCTTTGGAACAAACTGCAACATTCCATCTTCCTTATGACCATCCTGAAGAAAGCTGAGAAACTCTGCTTTATGTATTTTATGTTTTCATCTTAAAAATACTTGCGTAGGCTGCAAGTTTGGTATAACCAATTATCCAGTAATTTGTTTAAATTGGGCATTAGCTATATTAATGTGATGGCCTTTCCCTTTGTAAGATACATTTCTAGGAGAAACATTAATGTAAGTGAATCTAACCCCCCATATAGCTCCTCTCCAAAAAACCCACAAACCTACCACAAGCCATCTTATTGTTGCAGCCTGTAACTACTGAAGTTATTTCTGCAGTTGTGTGGTTTTCATAATATACCAACAATTGTATGATCTTTAACTTCAAAAGAAGCCACTGCTTTTAATGGCAACATTTCCAAAGGGGACTTTGGTAGGCAATGGAGAGCAGATTGCTCCTTTGGTGAATCCTTACCAGCTTCTGGGTCAGTCCTGGTGGAGCCCACTCGTAAGTTATTGTGTCAAATGTTGGATCTTTCCGAGACACAATGGGATTGGTGATGATCATACGGTTCCTTTTGTAGATGCGAACGCCGTCCCCACCTTTCACCCGGGCAGTAAGTGTAGAATACTTGGAGTCAGACAACAAGCGGCCAATTTTCCGATCATCTTCTGCATCAGAGCTCAGACCGTGATCCTCCTGGCTACATTTGCATGACTTGCATATCTTCCTGTGGCAGACAAATGAGATCATCCTTTTGATATAAGCAGAACCTTGATCGGCATGTGCTCTTTTTGAAGGCTCAGCACTGAACTTTAATATTTAACCTTTAAAGTTACTAAATGGGATCATGACATAAGACAAAAGGGCTTTGTGAGGCCAACTATATTTGGGAAGGTAGCATGATATGGCCCAAAGGAATTTACAGGGGTATGAAATATAAAAACTGTCAATGCCAGACTGTTGTCCCTGACAAAGGAGGGTGCAGCAGCACACATTAACCAACTTTGCTGTGTTGCAGCGGATTAGCAGGCAGCCAGTTCTGATGAATTTATAAAGGATGCTCAAAGACCTGATTAGTTTCATGGTAGTACAACATGCAGTTTTCAATAGCAAAGCATTGGCCTCCATTATTGGGGCTTATACTTTATAGCAAGGGTTTTTGGTAGTCAAGCTATAAATTCATATTCTTTTTCTTGGCAATCAAATTCCATAGTTTTGAAAGCAAAAGGCTAAATTAATTTTTTGTATAACTGAGTTCAGTGGAATTTGACAGTAATGATTAACTTGATAATTCTTTAGAATTAGTGAGTGATTTAGAATTATCAAGTTATACAATACTGAACTTTGAAGGTTGAGATTTTCATGCTGCATAGGTGGGGAAGTCAGGAATTCACAGTTGTATGTGACATTACATATTACATGCTGGAAATCTGTAGTAGTACAGGCAGTCCCCGGGTTATGTACAAGATAGGGACTGTAGGTTTGTTCTTAAGTTGAATCTGTATGTAAGTCGGAACTGGCGTCCAGATTCAGACACTGCTGAAACTGACCGCCAGTTCTGACTTACATACAGAATCAACTTAAGAACCCCAGGCGTCCCCAAGTCCATTACATATTACATGCTGGAAATCTGTAGTAGTACAGGCAGTCCCCGGGTTATGTACAAGATAGGGACTGTAGGTTTGTTCTTAAGTTGAATCTGTATGTAAGTCGGAACTGGCGTCCAGATTCAGACACTGCTGAAACTGACCGCCAGTTCTGACTTACATACAGAATCAACTTAAGAACCCCAGGCGTCCCCAAGTCAGCTGCTGCTGAAACTGATCAGCAGCTGATTCCAGGAAGCCCGGGGCAGAGCAACT